GGAACTTAGCCAACGGAAGCGCATTTCTTCAATTCCAGCGACCATATGTGCACATTTACATGTCGCAGAAGATTGTACAGGTGTAATCCGTTCTACTGCACTGATTGACTCCAAATATTTCAGCGCTCTGTAGGTAACGGTCCCTTCGCCCTTGTAGGAGATGGCATTCACCAGCTGAACCCCCGCAGAACACGGTGCTGGACTGAGGATTGAAGATGGACAAGTATACACTGTTCACGGCATCTGCAGAGGAGGAGATGAAGTAAGAAACATTCTCAATTCGCTAGTTTCATTTAACTGAAACCACTTTCAGATACCTCTACTTTTTGCGACAATGAAAAAGAAACGAGAGGATTACGTATTCGAGAAATTGAGGAGCTTCTTAGAAACAGCCAATCCAGAGTTAGCTGATCCACAACTTCGCTTTGTGGTGGACTTCGAGCTCGTGTCTGCTTCGCTACTCGAAGAACGTCACATCACAGACCGTTCATAATTTGGGTTTCGATAAACGCGGCGAAAACTGTATTCCCAAAGTGCTCCATTGAAGGATGTTGTTGGCATTTGAGCCAAGTTTGGGTTGGAAAGACGAATAGCCTCGGCACCTTTACTTCCCCAAAGGCAACGGACGAAGCGGGCGAGTGGTACGCTGGTGAAAGACACTGAAAAGACTCCCGTTCCTCCCACGAGATTGCTTTCACCCCGTCAGCGCGTTAAGGGCACCACTCGTGAACCAGCGACATTCTGCATTCCAACAGTGCAGAAAATTTCTGGAGTACTTGCACCAGAACGCTCCAGGCCCTATGCATACATGTGGTGCAAGTACCTGGTTCATGAATAAAGAACAACGACCACGGCTGAAAACTACTTCATCTCGCTTCTCTCTCATAGACTTAGTGATTTCAGAAGGCTGAGGAAAATAATTGAAAAAAGTATCCACCTTTGGGGCAACTAATTCTCGCCTTCCGCAGCCTAACACTCGTGGCGAAGGCGACGCTAACGAGGATAGATCAGTTACGCAATGAACATAAACAGCTGAGGAAACGGGACAGAATACGACGAGAAGAGGTGAACCACGCTACGGCCACTTTCGAAGGAATACGCTGTGGCTGCCTAACGTCCATGCCAGTAGAGAAGTACTGCCGTCGAATGGCAAAGTGCAA